GTAGGCTATATTTGAATCTGGCAAAATTATCTTGTAAAATTTCTGCCAACACTTAACCTTCATGGCTTTTTACTAGTCATACCTTTACGCAACCTTCGTTTAACTCATTTACTTATCGCTCTAGCTTATCAATTCTTATTCTTCCAGCCCAACTAGACTATAAACTACTGGCTTTAATGGGTTTTTAATTATGAATGTTTATATCCCATAAATTCGAGATACAACTTTCGATTGAGATAAATAGTTGTTATTAAGATTGCTTTTATCTATATTTTTATGTTAGTGGGATAAGATTAAGGTTTTCATTGACGCGCTTCAGCTCATATTTGCTTTCAAAATACTTTTTATACATCTCTTTTTATAAGAACCAGTCGACGTTTTTATTCCATGGATTAGTTCTTTACTTTAGTATAATTCCATTAATCTGTATTCTTCTCATATCTTCTAACTTAACTTTCAGTATAGAAGTGGTTTGACTTCGTTTTCACAAATTAATTGTATTGCCAGGAAGACCTAGATGAACGCATTTTGCCGGAAGTCCTATGTCATCGTACCCATGATTATTTTCATCACCGGATCGTCGACTTGGTACATTCCCAGATCAATAGGCCTAATCAAATACAACTAAAAGGACACACATGGACTGTGTTAAAATAAGCAAATTAGAAATTATGATAGAAAAGGGGGTGATACGAAGACATTAGATTAAGGTCAAGTAGATATTGGCCAAAAGGATGGGCATCACTTGTCTCTTTGATTTGTCTTATTCTGGTGCAAAGAATTCCCAAGCTTACTGACGATGCCTGCGAAAATCCTGGAATGTACCCAGCTCACGGTCAGATGTTAATTATCATGAATTCTATGGCATAGGATCACAGGCAAATTGCATTCATCTAGGTCTCCTCACCAATGCCACAAAGTTGCGAAAACGAGGTCAAACCACCTTCATGCAACGAAAGTGGATTCAGACCATACTACAGGCCACATCATATTCGTCTTGCTAGCTTCGATTATCCCTCGGAAATTTTTTCGTTTTTTTCTCAGTTGCCGCCAACGTCACGGTTGTACTAATGCTGCCTCGCTGTGGCCTCCTTTCAGACAACCACCCCCTTTGCCTCCAGATTTCATCGGGATCAATAGACTTCTTCACAGTCGACATCTACACTACATATTATTTTCACTTCTTAGTCTGGTAATCTTATTTTTATCTTCTTCAAGTTTTAGGTATGATCTGGGTTTGGTTTCACTAGTCTGCTCACACCATTATTTTTCACTTTTGGAATGGATGTAAATCCACAATTAAGTCTGTTTCAATATGAATAATAGTCCCTACTACAATTTAGTGTTTAATTAATTTTTAAAAATTCTAATGGTGCCTTCGCTTTCGTTTCGATCTTAATTGTACATAATTTTTTTTCCCTTGATTTCTATTGTCTGTCAATGATCTCACAACTAATTATTTTCTAGTTCATTTTTTCATTTTCCTCTTTCTTTTAAGCTTTCATTGCACAGATTTTGTATTTTGTTCCTTTTTTATTAATGATTTAATTATAGGCTTTGATGGTCATTGAATGCTTCAGCACCTCCTTCTAAGTCATATATAAAAATCTTTCATATATTTTGGGGCTATTTCTTAACGAAACAAAAAATTTAACTCTTATCATCTCACTTTTATTTTGATATAAATCTGTTGCCAAGTAGTTTCATTTTTATACATTTATTTTTGGTGGCATTTAAATTTCAGGGGTTTCTCTTTTGATTTATTTATATCCCTGTCCCTTACTATTTACTTGGCTACCACCATATTTTTTTTCTCAGTTTGTCTTCGAGGATTCTTTGGTCACTGAAGAGTCTCTGGCTATTGTAATTCACCTTCTCAATCGGGCTCTTCACACTCCTATAGTATTGGCCAACAGTCGAGAACATCCGCCTAAAGTGAGTCCGCTACAAATGTCTTGCTTTTTTATATACTATATTAGAATTTTAATCCATAATATATGCAAAAACTCTCCACCTGAAGCACTATTTTTGCCCACTTGCTAAAAAAACTAATATACAAGGGAAAGGTTTACTGCAGTTTCTTGGAATTATTAGGAGTTTTTTTGTCTGCCAAATTGAACCAGGGAACTTCTAACTTTCTGATTTGGAAACTTTAGACAGCCTGCATGTTCATATTTTATCTATAAATTAATTCTTGTTTGGTGCCAATCATAATACTGAAATCATATATTGATATGTGCTACCTAGTAGATCAAACGATTTGATAATGATGGACTGTAAATAAATGAGAGCAGCCTAGATTTTTATCCTTAACATAAACGAAGTTAAGGAGTACTTGCTCTCATACATAAATATAAACCTTCCTCTGGTTATGCTTCTACTAACAGCGCGCGTATCTACTTTTAAATAAATAAATATCTGTTATTTTTTGTGTGTAGGTCGTTAGAAGACATTTAGTATTTCAATTTATAGTTACCCTAGTCAACTATATTGTCTTAATGTGGCTGAAAACCCAGTAAAATATCCTATTCTCAGGAAATGTGGAGTATCAAAATGCGAAAATGTAAACAAAAGGTTATTCCTTTATTAAATGAAATTTCTTCAGTTAGGTCATGCTCTCAGACTAAGTGATGGTGATGGTGAGGTATTCTTACCTTCTTCGTGAAAGCTACTATATTATATTTTGAATGAATTGATAATTAAACAAGAAGCATATATTTCCTTACCAAAGTACTGGGTAACTCAAAAAACTCATAATTGGGTCAACGATATAACTGCAAAGTATTAAGTGTTTCTACTGCACAAACAGGCTTGAATTGACTAATTATTTGCGGGACTCGGGCAAAAATTTATCTTAAAGGACTAATCTCCCATCGTTACATAGTCTTGTACTTGCCATATGCTTGCAGTCATTAAAGTTTCTTCCGCGAATTTATTTGGATTCTAATATTTTGAGCTACACATACAATGGACATCCAGATCGAAGTTTTACTGTATAGAACGACCTCAGCTCATCATTCCTCTGGACGAACCCTCCGTCAATATCTCACATAAAGTGAATACAGCATTACGTACTATATAATTATAGAATATCTGATTTTTGAAGAGTCTCTTGCTGTGTGAGTGTTAACTTTCATTTTGAATGAAAGTATGTTAGTAAATTCGTATGCCAACTTCATCAGTGGACGACAGCTAATTTCACTTGGTCTGCTGGGACGTTCACGCTTTTGGCATATTATTATTATTATTATATTAATGGTTTATATTGGTGGACTCTTCGATTCTTGGTTTTATGTCGTGACTTCACATTTTTGCTACTTAATTAATTTTATCTAAAGTAAGCTTCAGCCGTCTCGCCTTTATGTAATAACTTGGGTTGTTAAATCTACTCGCAATTCTAGCCATCTCCGATTTTTATCACACCTAGTCCTTTACTCGTGATAAGCAAGACTTTAGATCCTATAATTTATTTAATTAGTAATTCATATTTATTAACCGTGGATTTTAAGCTTTTCATATTCATATCTATCCCTATAATGCTCTGATTGCCATAATTTTGGCGTCTGGGTTTTGGAATACTAATTACCTCAACTCATGATAATGTCCTTTTTATAAGCACCCATTCATATAGGCTTTAGTGATTGTTCACGCGCTAGTACTTGGTATATCATTTAAATTGAGTTAGGGATGGATTACGCTGCATTCGGAGGTTTTTAATAAAGACTATACTAATGCTTTTGGAAGTATTTATTGGAGCTATCTTATCTTCTTAGTGTGTTTTTATCATAGCATAGCTTTAAATATTTTTCAAATTTTGCCTGTTCTACTCGTTTATTATTGTTTTCCAGGATACATAGATCAAGGCTTTTTTCATCTACTCACTTTGCAAGAGCCAATTTAGTTTATCGATGCGCATGCATCGCTCATAGTATTTCTATTTTATCAAGATTGTACTCATCTCATTTTGTCCTAGCTCATAAATTGTACTCACTAAATTAGATACTGCAGGCCAAAACAAACTGCTTTATAACTCTTATTGTTGAACAAATTGAACCTCTTACTTGCCTAAAATGTTTTTAGACTTCTATATTGCTGTTTATTCAAGCAAATAAGAATTTTTCTTTACAGTCTTTATCTAGATCTTATTTTATTCTATATTATATTCTGTTTCTATACTTTCTATGCTTGCTCTAGTGTGGTCTTGTCGTTAGAAAGACAATTTGTATCATTTTATTTAGCAGGTAGTAATGATCGCATGAGAATATATATCGCCTTGATGATTGGATATTTCAAGCTATACAAGGATATCGCTACTTCAATAGGGGTCATCTTCCTTTATTTAAATCCGATTTATTTTGACATTTAGTCTTCTTCAAATGTGGCTGTGATCTATGCTGACGAGGATCATCTTATTCCATGCCGGGAAGGCGAAGCAATTGATGCTTCAAGAGGGCTTTCTGGCGAACCTACTTGTACTAATCGAGTGACGTTGACCGGGGCCTCACGACCGGGCAATGCAGCTGAGAGTGAGTTCGACTGGGAGGCTCTTGAGGATGATAGTGATATGTTGGAGCCGAATGAAGATCTGGATTCCGATGAGCCCTGCCAATCTGTGGATGCTGAGATGACTTCCGTCAACCAAGGTAGACCTGGGCTTTGTAGCTAAATGATTAATTCCTCTTGGTCTTAGTTAACTTACTTATCGAAGCTAAAAATCAGAGATGATTTCATCTATAATATGCTACTTAATTAGCTTAGTCAATAGTATTTTTATATTTTCATTTTTACCTCACATCGCTTATTTTTAGATCGAACTTCATCTGGTACAGGATATCGCCTACCCTCTGGACTTGTCCGGGGGCAATCTGGCAGATCTTGGAGAATGGCTTCCGGACCCCCTAGTATGCGCTGGAATGCCACATTACGTGCTTGTCCTTATGCACCAGGTACCTCCTTATTTGAAAATCTATCAGCTTGGCTGGCTGTCACTGAGGCTCCCGTTTCAAGCCTTCCTGCTCAGGTAGCCTATGCGGCCCTTCAACCACAACAGTTGGTAGTTTCCGGCTCGTCAGCTTCGATCGCGGCTTCAGTTCCCTCCCATCCACAAAACCGAAGCAATACTGATATAGGAAAATCTGGGTGAGGATCTATTTTCTCAATTAAGTAATCTAATAGCACCGTTATGTCATCTCTTATTGTCTTTCTCTTATTTGTTACTATCAGAAACAGTCAAAAGGCTTTTTTATGAGATCCCAAAACCTATTTGAAATCTTTTTAGTTGGTCAGGCCCTTACTTCTGTTTTTTATTATAAGAAATGTTAGTAATGACTTGTGAGGGACCCTTTGTTACCCCAAACAACTGATCTCAACTGCCTCTTCATTTTCACAGATTATGTTCTTAATAGTATATGCGAAGCAAAGTTAGATTTATAATAGAAGTTGTTTGACCTTGTTTTCACATCTTGGTCATATTGGTAGGAAGACTTAGGGGAACGCACCTAGTCCGGAGTCTATTGTATGCATGATCATTTTTAGAGTAGGACCATGGACGTGGTACATTCTTAGACGTTTTGCCGGCATCGTCAGTAAGTATCGCCATTCTTAGCACCACACAACAACTCATCATAGAGACAAGTGAAGCCGATCCCTTGACCAAACATGTGCTAAACAGTTTTGGTATCTATTCACATTTCATATATCCTCCTATCACGCCTTCACTGTTACAATTTGTACCGTGCTTATTTCGATGT